GTTATGTTGACTGCTTCTTCGGTTAATTGTTATGTTGACTGCTTCTTCGGTTAATTGTTATGTTGACTGCTTCTTCGGTTAATTGTTATGTTGACTGCTTCTTCGGTTAATTGTTATGTTGACTGTTTCTTCGGTTAATTGTTATGTTGACTGCTTCTTCGGTTAATTGTTACCGAGCTTCCCTTATCCAGGACATTAGCGTATATGTAGATAGGTACCATGAGTAGAGCCGATACGGTCCATGCTGTGAGGCAGATGAACTTGGCAATAAAACTGGTCCTGTAGCGGGGGGAGGAGATGGGGTGGCAGACTGCCACGTAGCGGTCGGCACTCATGACGGTCAATAGCAGGCTGCTGGTGAATTGGTTTATCGAAGTTGTGGTCATGTACATTTTGCACATCACACGCCCGAAAGGCCAATGTCTGACAGTCATTGTGGCAATAAGAAATGGGAGTCCAATCAAAAACATTTCATCAGCAACGGCAAGGTTCAAAATGTACATATTTGTGACAGTCTGCATTTTGGAAAAGCGAAGCACCACATAAATGACAAGGGTGTTTCCACACAAGCCAACCAAGCAAACAATACTATACAAGATTTTAACAATCTCAAATATAGCCCTTGGAGGACCATCATCCATCTCTTCGAAAGTGGAATTGGTTGTATTCACAAAGGTATTGTTTTCATCCAATGTTGTTGTGGTGTTCACGTCTAGGAACTCCAAGTAGGCCATTTTAAGACTAGTATTGATAAAAAAAAAGAGACGTTCTGTGATTACCAATACAATTACAACAAGGATTGTTTTTCGAGAATTTCTATTTGATAATAATCATTTATTCTAAATTCACAGGAAATTCTTTGGAAATTTTAAAGCCTTTACTTCACTTGATAAAAAAACCTATGACATACCGTTTTAACTCCCTTTTTGTTTTTGCGGACTTTTTGAAGAGTTCTGGATTTGTTCATATGATGAACCTCTCCAAAAGCTTTATCATACGACTTTAAATATCAGAAATAACACTCTTACAACAATAGGACATCATAACAGGATGCAAAAAAAAATACAATAATGTTTTATAAGCACTAAATTGATGTTACCAATACCTAATCGACTGGGCATCATTACAGGAAAACTGATGCCCTATACTTTATGAAATGACATGCAAGGAAAAGTTTAAATGGAATCTATTAAATCTTATACCACTGTCTGCATCATTTCTGATGTAAATAACAAAGTTTCAACGTTGTAAATCCTGTGATCAAGTATGTAAATTTTATAATTTCAAGCAATATATATATATATTTGAAACCTCGTATGTTACCATAAACACAACCTCGACATAATCTTATTTTAACACATTTTGTTATTATTCCAGTAGCACACTAAATATATCGGCTTTTCCATTGCTCTTCTTCGAGACACACACACACACACGGCTCCTTACGTCTTCAGAGTTTCCATGATGTCATCTAAAAATAAAGATGATATAATCAATTCTCTTCATGCTGACTTTTTGAAGTAAAAGATATTTATTCTTTGGCTATAGTTTTCTTCACGCTTTGTATATAATTAACACTAAGCACTTTGCTGGTGTCATTGAACCCATAATTCAATAGAAGTTTGAATTACCGAGGACTGTAATATTGAAAGTAGGAGCAAATGGATGTTGTACAATGTTTCCGTTGATAATCCATAAATTTTTCAAAGCAACTGTTTTCTCTCTTGTTATTAGATAGCGGAACACGAGTTTTTATTTGATGCTTGTGTACACGTATATTTTACATTCAGCGAGGCTCTTAGGTCATAAACAAACATTATCGTGTTTTGCACTGGAATAAAAAAACTGGACAGAATGTTTCGGTAATGTATTTAAACTCACTTGGAATTCTAAACCCTATATATATATATATATAAGTGTTCGCGCGCGCGCGCGTGTGTGTAAAGTAGTAAAATAGAAATTTAGAGAAATGCTAATGGATTTTAAAGCTTCCAATATTTTCTTTATTATTGAATATTATGTACAACTATTTAGATATTAAGAAAAAAATAAACAAATAGTGGACAAATAGCACTTTTCTGGATAATTTTAGGGTAAAAAAAAAACACTTTGACTAATTCATCTTATTGCCCCGGCATGGCCAGGTGGTTAAAGCGCTAGATTCGTAATCTGAGGGTCGCGGGTTCGGATCCCCGTCACACCAAACATGCTCGCTCTTTCAGCCGTGGGGGCGTTATAATGTAACGGTCAATCCCACTATTCGTTGGTAAAAGAGTAGCCCAAGAGTTGGCGGTGGGTGGTGATGACTAGCTGCCTTCCCTCTGATCCTACGCTGCTAAATTAGGGACGGCTAGCGCAGATAACCCTCGTGTAGGTTTGCGCGAAATTAAAAAAAAACAAAAAAAAACAAATTATCTTATTCGAAGCTAACACCTCAAATTGTAGGCCAACTTGTTCATGCATTACATTAGGTAGTGGATATGTCAAAACTTGTTTCCCCAATGAATTATGCAATCTATTTGCCGTGCAATGACAAGGAAGTGGTAATAGAGATTATCGTCTAAACGCTGTGACAATGTTGTGAAAAGTTTAGGCATATTTGTAAATACTATAAAATTACGTTCAAATAAAATTTGAAATAATTTTTAAAGCACTTCGATGTTAGATGAACTTTGTATTTTCTTATCATCTGCCCCCCCCCCCCCAAGTGGCACAGCGGTGTGTCTGCGGACTTACATCTCTAGAAACCTGATTTCCATACACGTGGTGAGCAGAGCACAGACAACCCATTGTGTAGCTTTGTGCTTAACTTCAAACAATCTTATAATTGAAAATGTTATTAGTTTTAAAATAATCAACATGTAAAGCTCTTTACATGTCCTCCCCAAGGACATCTAATATATTTAAAACTACTGCTATAAACCCTCATGGAGTCAAACTGTAATACTGCATTAGATATTGATAAACGTAAATATGTATAAGTTTAGTAAATAATTGACCAGAAACTTTAGAACATGTAGAAAAGAGGAACAGCTATTTTATTTTCATTAGATTTGTTTGAAATATTTAAATGAAATATGATACATTTACTTCGCCGTAGTAGCTATATGTAGCAGTATTCTTCTACAGTTGCTTAAATAAAAATATTAAAGATTTAAGTACAGATGTCTCGATCTCATTTTAACATCAAACGAAACCCGTAGTTTTTTGTCAAGTCTGCAAAATTTCATTCGTCATATTTATTAATATTTTTACTGAATTATATAAACAAATTGGCGCATGTATTTATTTTATTAGTGATGTGAATGTGAAGAGTAATATTCACACTTTTGGAAAGTTTGATTATCCAAAATGTAAAATATGGTCTACGGATTACCTACTTCTTTTTTCTTTTTTTGGTTTTAAAAGATATTTATTCTTCAAATCGTGCCACAAGAGCGATGAATAAGAAACAACATCGATTAATAAAAACAAAAAAAATACCATCCTCTCTTTCATCCTGTGTCTCTCATGCTCCAAGAGTTCAGTTCTCATGACTCACGTTAGAACGAAAGCAACCTCTGATGTGGTTGCTGCTTCCGGCTCATTGTCATCCTTAATTTTTAATTTCATGCGACCTACTCAATAATGTGTGTAATATTAATAATATCTTGATCTGCTTCGCTTTAAAGGCCTAGTTAAACAATAATGGTCAGAGTGTAAATGTTTTGGGACTACAGCCTACGACCTTGTTGGTGCATTTGTCCCTGTTCAGCCTTACAGAAGATAACCTTCGTCCAGATAACACTAAACGGCCGGCACATTCCTTGAGGAAGAGAGAATTGACCAGTGGAGTAGCCGGTAGCCTGCATGCTCACGGACTCCAGTCTCCTAATCCAGAAATGCAATGTTGTTAGGAGAAGAGTTGCACCCTGTCAAATGGTTCCAGATCTTTAAATAAGACTTGGAAATAATAGAGGATTTGTCATAAAATTCCTTAGAACTTAATCTACGTTACGGTTTTAAGTATGCAACATCGTGACAGGCTACACTTGTCTGTGGTGATCATGTTACATACCTAAGTGAAATGCCACGGACTATAAAGTTATAAAAAAATCACATCTACTAAATATTTATTTATATGAACTGAATGACGGATCACCTGCATTTCAGACCAACAAATTCATGATATGCATAACAATTAACTGAAGAAGCAGTCAACATAACTGTAACATCTTCTGGCCTGAGAGCGACTTCATGAACGGACAAAAGGCATTCACTCTATACTCTCTCACTCTTGGATTTGCTATTCCGCTGGTACTGATCCTCTGGTTCTATTTTCTTGTTATTTGTAAGCTTAGAAGAGTTGGACCCAAAAACAAATCCAAAGAGAAGAAGAGAACCCATCGCAAGGTGACCTACCTTGTTCTGACAGTGATCACAGTTTATGTTATCTGTTGGCTACCTTACTGGATCAACCAAGTCTACATCGTCCACTGTTAAATGTGTTTATTGTTGAAAGCCACAACGTTTTTCCACAGAACAATCCACTGTTAAATGAGTTTATTGTTGAAAGCCACAACCCTATTTTCACGGAAAAATTCACTGTCAAATGTGTTTATTGTGTTTTTTGTTGAAAGCCACAACGTTTTTCCACAGAACAATCCACTGTTAAATGAGTTTATTGTGTTTTTTGTTGAAAGCCACAATGTTTTTCCATAGAACGATTCACTGTCAAAATAGTTTATTGTGGTTTTTGTTGAAAGCAAAAAGCTTTTCCACACAACAATCCAAATTTCAAACATTACTCATTACCGCTGTCAACAACGTTCAAGTTCCATTAAGTAGTTTTTAAATTATTCAGTTTTCTTGACCAGCTTTAAACTTCGAATTTTACTTTCGCTTTCTGCTCAAAACTCAAAGTTTTTAATCCAAAACGAACATTCCCTTGTATGAGTCATAATAGTTATCTAATTCTTCAGACTTGAGTCACATGTTCATTTTCATTAATACGGTTTTCGTAGCCGTTAGTAAGTGCATTTCCCTTGTCTTTCATACGTATGTTGTTCGAACGAGACGTCATTGTTATGGCTGTTGACGGTTCTATTTCTTGGTGAGATTTCCCTTCGCGAGGCTCTTTCCGTGCTTGTTGTTTGCCTCTATTAGATCCACCTCGAGTGTGCTTAGGAAATACACTGTTTTCTACCTGAAGTTGTGCGTTTACATCTCTACCAGCAGCACAGGTAAAAGCCTTCGCGAAACTCTTCTTAAAGTTGTCACTGAGGAAAGCATACAACACGGGATTCATAGCGGAATTAGCGTAAGACAAACAGCCTACCAGTAGATTAATGACGACCCCTATGTTAGTCTGGCTCTGCATGGGAGGAAGGAGGGTTTGTTCTGTGGAAAAACGTTGTGGCTTTCAACAAAAAA